ATATAAGTTCAGATTTAAAAATCAAAATTTAATAAAGGTTTTAGGGATGAAAAAAATAATGTCAATATAAAAAGTTAGAATTTATTTCCAATATAAATTATTTATTCCAAAAATAAAATATCCAAAAAACGTATAATTATTTTCAAAATGATTATTCATTGTTAAAATAATCATCTGATAAAGTATGTAATGTACATGGATGCATAATAACACTAACATTATATTTTTGTTATACAAGATGATTTTTGAAATCATAAAAAAAGCCTAAGGGTTTTTATTTATTTCCAACATTGAATATTATATTCTACGTAATACAATATTAACCGTGACCGGCAAGAAACTATGACATTTTTTTTTTGTTTATTTGACATTGTGTATAGTATAATAGCATTTATTACTAAAATGCATAAACTATAAATACGGCAGTTAATAGTATTGTTAGAAATTATTATCTATTATTTATAGTACATATCTGCTATATACACGTTTTATTTGAATAGAAAACATATTTTTAAAAACACTGCAAACTCAGTAGGCATAATTTGTTTTTTTTTTTTTTGTTTAACGAACATGACAACGATTTTAAAACATATAAATTTAATTTTTTGCATTTAAAATATGTATAATAATAATAATAATAATAATAGTTATTATTATAGAAACCCATAGATTTATTGTTATAATAAAAATCAATTCGTATTTAATTGAAATATTTTATCAAAAAAAAAAATCCTGATATAGACTTAATTTTTACATGAAATATATTTATATTTGTAAATTAAACAGACTTTGGATTTGAAAATTGATTCAATAATTCACAACATTTATTGTAGATTGAAAATTACCATAGTATTATATACGTTGAAAACTGATTTTTCGGATTTGTATAGAATTAAATCGTATAAATTTAAAAGAAAACGTAAATATATTACTTCTGGCTAAACATAATGCAATACTAAAAAACGTCTTTGGTGTAATAATTCAAAATAACATAACGTAAAATAACGTATAAATAAAAAGGGATTTGACGTTTCGAAGCTATTCGTATAAATCACGAGTATTATATTATGAAATTCGTTTATACAATAACACATACATTATACGCACAGAAATAGGACTTAATTATATTTCGGGACGGTCCGCCGACCCGACATGATATTATTATTTCATAAAAAATATGTTAATATCGTCATCGTTCGACGATGACTATTTTATTTCTACTATCCGCAAATTCTCCAATTATACGCGAATATGTAATATAATATTATAGGAAACAGGGCCTAAAAATTAGTTTCTACGTAAAACAGACACTGTTATAATAATAATGATAATATTAAACTATTGTATTAACTAAGTGATACATATTGGTATATTACAATACCAATACTATATACGATTCAACAACCACCAAATAATAATAACATTGACTTTTAATTTTAAATAAGGTAATAAATTAAATTTTTATTTTTAAATCTAAAATAGTTGCTGCATTTCTATGAAAAATGAAAACAATTGTGTAATATTGCAAACAATGGAATCGCAATGGTAGGTATATCGTATGTATTACAAAAAAAAAATAATAAAATCACATACAGAACGAATAAACTAAGTACTTATATAAGCAAAAGTACCCACATCGCAAACTGCACTGCACTGCAATATTTATGTTTTTTTTTTTTTTTATGAATTTCATTAATCTAATTCATCGTAATGGAATACCTATGTAGTATATAGTTTAATTATACTGAATATTCTTACAAGTACTTATATGATATTATGTTAAGAACATAGGAACCGCTTTAGTTTTAATAAAATTATTCAATAGGTGTTGTTTTATCATCGATTAAGGATCATTTAAAAACAAAACACATTTACCTACATTTATGCACAAATCTGACAAATTTTCCAAATCTACACTGTAGACTGCAAATGTCTATTGCTGTAATTTTATGACTCAATATAAAACACTCATACATGTATACGAAAAGGAACAGCTGAATTTCGAGTTGTCTCTTTTTTCTATAGGGAGAGGGGTCTAAGACCCTCCAAGCCCCTATGAAGTCCGAGCCATAGTAATATAATCGTGTTATACGTCAATAGGCCAATATTTAGATACAGGGTGATTCAAAAGTCATAATTCTTTCTCTAATATTTTCTTTATTATAGAGTTTATTAATATTCTGATGTTTTGCATTTTTAATATACTTATACTAATATACTAATATACTTTCAAGTACTTTTACATTTTTTGTTTAATTTAAAAATTAACACGCAGTGATACAAACTTTTTTTAAATGTAAACTATCTTTTATGATGTAAATTCTTAATAACTAGCTGATGTTTTTTTTTTTTTTTTTAATGTCGATCTACATAAATTTAAATTTGAACATTAAGTTTCTAATCCAGAAAAAAATTGCATGTCTTTAAAATAACACTAATTGTAAAATTATATAAAGACTATAATAATTTAGTAATTTTAGGTATTAGTTTATAAAAATGTTACTGCATGGCATTTTATAATTTGTAAAAGTTTTTAAAGTTAACGGTCTAAAGCATAATAAGTAATAAAATAAATATTATAAAATTGACATTATGATTGAAATATTTTTTTGCTATTCTATCCTTAAAGGTTACTCGACCGATTTCGATGTACCCAAGTTTTCAAAAATTCATGTATTTAACAGTGTTTTGCAAAAACAGTATTGTGTCGTCTGCAGACAATCCAAATGTGTCGCAAAGTACAAACATTTTTGACACGATTTATAAAAATTAATAAGTATTTGATATAATTCCTGTGTTGATTAAAGATAAGTTATTTTTTATCAACATTTATCATTATTTTTATGCTATTATTTTCTTTGTTATTTTTAATTTTACACTACTATAATTAAAATTAATTATAAGTAATTACCCATTATTCTTATTTTTTTATCGTGTGTTGCAAAGTATAATATTTTTAATAGTGTATCGCCCTAGTTAAAATGTTAAGAAACACTAGTTTAGCAATTTACTGTAAAAAAAGATGCAGCCTATTATATGCAGAAAATGATGTTTGTATAACCACTGCAGAAAATGAAGTAAAAATATATTTTTAAGATTCTGAAAATATGTTTTTATACCTAAGTATACTTACAAATTTTATAAATCAGAATTCGAATAATGGTATTAGAAAAGTTTAAATATAGGAATGAGCATACTTGATGAATCACCCGGTATACAGGTACTTATAAAATATATATGTTGTCTGTACAATACTACTGCAGTTTTGTATACAACGCGCATGAACAGGAACAGCTGAATTATGTTGGGTTGGCTTTTGTGATTTGTTTTTTTTTTTTTTATGTTCGGTTTTTCAAAATCACAAACCATTGCAATGAAATAAATCGCTGCGTTTATAATTCATTTTTAAATTCATTTTTTGATCTTGCTTGTGACAAAAACAAATTAGGTATCTAAGGATACTGTTAAAGCGATTGGTATTATTATTTTGTGCTATATAAATAGCACAAGGAATTTAAATTATGTTTATCTTTTTCTTCGTAATACATAAAAATGTGTTATTTATCTAATTCAAATTTAAGTTTGTTTATAATTTATACAAGTCACGTATATATTAAAACAATGTAATGCATTGGTACTACGAGTATATTATAGCCATTTACTAAAAAAAAAAAATTAAAAATAATTTTTAGTTTAGTGTTTACATAATTATATATACCCATTGCTTGCTATATGTTATGTTAAATTTCAAAGATTGAATTCCGAAAATTAAATAATTCAAAAATTAAAATTAAACATGTAAATTGTTTATTGTTTAAAGAAAACTTGAAAAATGTATTTTATAGGATAGTGCATAATATATATCATACACTGTATGGTTTACATGAATATTATATTAACATTTATAAGTATTTAAAGAATTAAAAAAAATGTATAATAGTTTTCGGAAACTTCTTAATAGTAGTGTTGATTAACTATATACGATATCTATACTCTGCAGCAGAGGCTCGCGGTGCCATCAAATGAGGAGGGGAAATGTTCTACTAAACACTATACGTTACGCTTATTTGTATAGTTTTACTATATGATTAATGTGTATTCCTACAATATCCCGTGTGTACACTTATATTGCCTTTTTGGTATACATTTTTATATTTCCTGTAAAAATAACAAATAATGAGACAGCCGTGTTTATTTTACGACTACAGCTGCACCGACGATATTATACACAAGAAAATATCCTTAGTTGCAGGTCTTTGACGCACGATAATAATAATAATAATAATAATAATATCGTAATGTAGCCCGGCCGCAGTAACTATATCGGGCGGCCGTAAAAGAAATTTCAGACCAAAAAAAAAATAAAAAAAAAAAAATTGATCTCAAATAAAAAACACTCAAATAAATCATAACACCATACGTCATAACACAGATCATTATATTTTATTGTGTAGTGCACCTAAATACCATCTTATATTACGAATATTAGTTGGGTATATATTTTTGGATTCAAGGTTTTGGTTTCATAACAGTTGTTCCGTGTCGTCGGCAATTCACACGTTTCAATGGTATCGTTTTAAATATCAATACATTACATTATACTGTTTGAAAATTATCAAACGCCTGGAAATTGTTCGAAATTCCGGAATCGTTTTTTTCGTGACAATAATCCAAACCGATCGTTCGTCCGCGCTGTTATAATAATAATTATTATTGTTATACGTAGTACCTCCTAATAATAATATATTTTATTAAAACGCACCGTTTTAACGTCACGGCGGCGTTCCTCCCCCACCCACGGAGTTCAAATACTCTCACACACACACAACCCCTTCCGACCGTTGTCGGCGGCGGCGGACCATCGCTGCCCCGCAACCCGCCCGCCGATAAATGTGGGTGGAGAGAGATTCTGTGCGGCGCGCAGTTGCCACGGTCCGCGTACAGGTGTCGCCGCGGTCGACTCGGGTTTTTCGTTCTCCGCTCCGGGACTCGTCGCATGTGAGATTCATGTGGTTCGCCCGCGACTATTAACCACACGACACCGAGTTCGACGCGCTCTCCTCGTCCGGATGTGCTAATAATAATAACGCAATAATAATAATAATAATAATAATAGTAATAATAATATTAAAAAAAAAAAAAAATCGTGATATAATATTTAAATGATAATATTGTAATCGATTCACACGAACCGTTTCATTCGTTGTATATTGTAGACCGTATATAATATGGTGTGATTACAGTAATAATTATTACAATATTATTAACATAATATTATAATATTATTTGTATTGCCGTTCGTCGTGCACGCGTATAATAGTCGCATCGCGAAAAAACTATAATACTTTTTTATATTTTTTTTTCGTGTTTTTATTTTTATTTTTAATTGATTTTTACTTTTTTATTTCGTTCGATTACTTATTGAAATTTCGTTTTATTCGTTTTTGTTTCGCGCCGATCAATTTTTGCTCCGGAACCCGAATATATTGCCGCACGGTTAAATATTTACCTACGTTTATTCCGTCTGGAATTTGGTTTTTTGTTTCGTTTCGTTAACTAATCATTCATTGCGTGATTTCATTATATTTTCATACATCAGTGAAGTGCGTTTCTTGTGAAAGATAATTAAAAAAAATTGTTTTAATTTTTTTTTTCTCAATTTATTTTATTTTTAAATATTATTATTATTTTATATGTTTGACGATTTTTGCCCGTCGTTTAAAGTCCTAGGATCGCCTAGGACCTCGTAAAAAATTTTAGTGCAAAACATGGAAGCTACTTATTGCATTGGAAACGACGTTGACGTATGCCGAATGTTCGATCAATATTTATACAAGGTAAATACAATATTTTAATAATTCCCCGCTTAAAACAATTAAATGTCGTCTAAGTTAAGAAGATTACTTAAAAAATCCCAACTATTTTGATGTTTCGAATATAAAATTTAATAATTTTTAAAAAGTTAAAATTGAAAAAAAAAATCAAATAATGTTTAATAATATATTTATTAAATAAATAATAATTGTAATTATTCAACCTCTATGAAGATTGGATACAAATATAAGAATGTAAATTATGACTAGGTAAAACCGGTTATGTTAGTATTTTTTATTTTTCATTTTTAATGATTAATACTACATCTATAAAGTTAAATTAAAAAAAGGTTCGTTAAAATAATAATTGATTTCATATTATTACTACAACTAAAATCAATTGGGAAGATCGAAAAAATATATATATAAAAAAAAATATAATAATAAAACAAAAAAAAATATACAGCGGTCGAGAAATTGTTGGTAACAACGATTAATGAATTAACCACCGGTGCCCGAGTCGGGTCAACCAACCATGACCTTGGTTGGCCTTGAACCTAGCAGCCAGCATCTTCTAACACGGTACCTATATGATCACTTAAGAATTCCACATTTCCAATGTAGATACAATCTGATAATAGTACATAATACAGTACGAATAAAACAAAAACAAATATCTATCAATCGTTTCGTTGTCCACATTTATTGTAAAATACGTCCCAATGATTTCTATTGCATCAATCGTGCACAACGTCAACATTTAACAATGAAAAAAAAAAATCGATCGTTTTACCAAATCGCCGAAAGCGTACTCTTAATACAATGCATGTAGATATTTCATAATGTAATACGTTTAATTCGCGTGCTGTAATGGTCATGCATTTAAAATTAAATTAACAATCGTTTCACGAATTAACAGGCCAAACTGGCCAAATTGAATAAAGTATAACGTAATATTTTGTCCCGAAACGTATTATTATTATTGTACTCACTAGTCAACGACCGATTTTTGACCGTTTCTAGTACCGATCATAATATTGTATTATAGCTTGTATCGATTTAACGGCGTGATTTCGCTGAAATGCGAGGGCACACGTGCCCCTTGTCACGATATATTACAGCCCGGCACGGGTCTCACAGGTGGGTGCTCGTTCCCGAAAAATTCAACAAAAACGAAAACGCGTCTGCCGGTGGTTGTGCCGTAGAAATTCTTTTCCCGTTTTTCCCATGACGGGACGACAAGTATATATAGGTAGGTAACTAAAAACCGGCTCCATTAACCACACACTCGCTGACGAACACATGTTGTAAACAATCGTTCGATTTCTTCTCTTTGCTTTGTCAGCCACACACGCAGACAACTGGCGCAACCAAAAGTAAAAAAAAAATATATATGTACAAGCATTCTAGAAACGAAGATTATAACATTTATTTTTCTTTATTTTTTCTTTTTTAATCCAATCTCTCTCACTCTTTCTCGTTATTTTCTATTGTATGCTAATACTCGTTTTATATATTATTAAATTATATTATATATATTTATATGTGTATACAATTTATACTATAGCAACACGATAAGAGACTTAAAATAAAGATTCAGAATAATTTATTAGATCGCTATTGTGCTTCCACCAGTACTTTATTACCCGGAGACTTATTGAAAAAAAGAGTCAAGTGTAAGCACACGTCATGACCTTTTTTCTGCCCCCCCCCTTACCCGCCCTGTTTTTTAATGTACATTTTTTATTGCCTGGCCGGAGTTTTTCTGATTTAATGGTAATAAAAAGTGTTCTATCCATGAATACTAATTGGTTCATTACGTTCCGATTTAAATTCATTTTATTTTCTTGTTATGTTTAGATGCGTATCTAATAAATCGAACAGCAATATTTTTTCCTACCCGTCCACTTATTAAAAAAAAGATGTGATAAGAACAATACATTTACTAAACGTGTTTAATTACATTCTAAATATAACATTCTATATCTATATCATGATATTGATAATTTTAGTTTTGATGTGGTAGTATGTACGTCGTACGAACGTCATTATATTCCATTTATAAAATTTAATCTCAAGTGTTTTTTTTCGGTAGATACCTATGTTGAAACGTAAACATTTAAATTATGATGAAATAATTTGCTGACCCAAAAATAAAAACGATAATAATATTTTTTCATAAGAGAAGTAAACGTTTAAAAATCTATAATATAAAATTATTAATTTATGTGTGGGGAAATGAAATGCGATTAGATATAATATTTACCTATTTATGGAATGAGTCATTAAGTCAAAATTATTCCATCATAGATTAAATAATACAGTGAAACAAAAAATATAATAAAATGTTCAATAAGCAACACTACGTATTTTTACACGGGTTTCATGACCCACGAAATTCTTTTTACGACAAATACACTACGTCTGTATTTAACGGTTGTATTGGTTGTAAGAGATAAAAATGTTCTTACTTGTGTTGTGATATTATTATAACATTCATAACCAATCACATGTTAATTCACATGCCCTCATGAACACACACACACACATATTATACCTATTTACTTATTTATTATTGAAAAATTCATAATTCTATAACATTAATTAGTTTATAATAATATATAATATACATTATACAAATATGCTCACATACACAAATTATCGAGAACAATTATTATTGTGCCGATATCCTTATAGGAGTCCGACCTCTTTTCGTGCGGTTATCGGGATTAAAGATTTTTAAAACACTTCACCGGATGACCTCGATGTTTATATAATATAATACCATTACATGTAGCATTCTTAGCTCTTTATTGATTTTTAATACATATTTTTAGATTCAATAAATCACTCGGTTACCTACAGATTTTTTTCGTTTGTAATCACCCGCTATTAGTGAATGGCCCTATTGATTACAATTAAGTATGTTAATGATGCGTCATAAAAAATAGGTTAGATATATGAATATGAGTTTCGAATCATTGTTGCGTTTTAAATCACAATATCTTGAAAGAGAAAAAAAACTATAATTTTATCATTGCAGCTGCGTAACAGTCCATTAAAGTACGTACACCTAGGTATTATAATACATAAATTAAATAGCAGTCAAATTTGTATTTTCATTAAATAAAACGCCTATAAAAAATAACATTATTTTTATTTAATATTGCTGTATAATATGAGTTAAATTTAACCTTGATAGTTAAGTATTAAACAAAATTACAAAATGTTTAAAATTTTAGTAAAAAAAATCATGAAACAAAAACTTATAAAAATTTATCATGATTTATTTTTTAAATTATCAGTTATAAGAAAAATTTTAGTTTTATATTACATCATTCTCATGGCGATTTAAATTACTTACGCGTTCTTTTAATTCTTCGAGGAATGTCATTGCAGAATTGTCTTTATTTTTTAATAGCATACACTTTTTTTTAAGTTTGATTGGTGTTGTTTCGATACTACTAAATTGATTTTTCAACGGTTGAGTCTTAAAAATCTTTGAATTGGCTAGTTGTTTTTTTGCCGTGTCTTGAAATATTTTTTGATGCTGTAATAGCTTAGTTTCGGATAGTTTCGTACAATTATCTTGGTCCATATTATGACTGTACATACTCAAGCTCTGTTTAACCACTTTTTCGGTTTTTTCAATTTTTGCCGGAACGTAGATGACGACTGCACGTTTCAAAACGGACATTTCATACTCACGAATTTTAACCAATTTTAATTCTTGATATCCGTCTGCAATACAATATTAATCTACGATCATACTTGATTTCATTTAACTTTGTAACTACATATTTTTTTATGAGAGTATAAGAAATAATACAAATTAAAGTAGGATATTTTAGAAGTATATAATGAATAAAATCTAAAAGAAAACTATAATTTTTACGAAATGAATACTATTTTAAAAATTAGATGATGTAGAAATATTGAATAAAATATTTTCTGCTAAGTATACAAATTTGATAGCGCATATAACTAACTGAAAATTAACAAGTAATCTTCACATGAATGCGAGAAGTATATCGTATGGTTTTCTTAAAAACAAATTTTTAAAAAGCATCCATTTTACGTGTGTGTATAAATGATAGTTACCGTAATAATCCAAAGTTTCCATTTTTTTCCAAACAATGTACTAGGTACATCAATAAAATTTCTATTTGGTTAGGTAAATAATAAAATATATAATATTCTGATTGTATTGATCAGACTATAAGGTTGATATTTTTCCAAGGATGTTAATCTGCAGTTGATATTAGTCATCGGTGTAATATTCCAAAGACATCAGTGTAGTAAAAATAAAACGCGGGAGTTATGAATTGTATAACATCGAATAATTATAAAGGTAATAAACTGATTTATAAACAGCATAAACAGAGCAACCTTTGAATAATCGTAATTTTATCTAACACACATTTGAAATTGAAAAAAACCTTAATTGACGAAAAGTAATTATAAAATCAATTTGAAATGGTCAGTACATAGAATACGTAGTTATATTTTAATAGTGATATTCTGTATACTAATGCAGCCATAATCGTAACAATTTCGTATAATAGAATTGAAAGAAAAATAATAATTATACGTATAATTATTTATTATGATGTTTTAAAACAAAGTGTTTTGAAATCATTTCAAGATTTGAAAATAAAGAAGTATGTTATTCATAAATATTACTTCCTCATGCTTAACCCTCACGCAAAAATAAAATATAAAATTGCATTTTTCTTCCAATATCGAAGTATAATACGTTATTATTTTCATTGGGCGGCATATGGACTGAGGGGAGATGAAATGATGAAATATTTTCTTTTAACTGAACGCGTCGTATAATAATAAAACGTCACATATAGAAATCAAATAAGAAGAGAACAATATGTTATACTACTTGTGCTGCGGGAAATAAGAAAAAAATAGGTTACACACAATTTCTAAATAAATGCTCACTTTTCCATACAAAATATAATATTATTTAATATCATACGAATTTCAAGTGTCTCTTCAATGGGTAATGGAAA